TTCAGGAAATTCAGCATGCATTGGTCAGGAGTCTCACTCACAATACGGACGAAGTTCAGTATTTGAGCCACATTTATAGGGCTAGACCAGAAAAGCTAGTCTTGTTTGAACATGTTTACCTTTCTTTCAGAAACTGGCTGACATGGCTCAGGTCCTGCAGGCCAGGGAAGCTCAAGCCCTGACACTCAGCAACAAGAATGCTGACCTACAAGAAGCTGTCAACATCTTGAAGAGGTATGAAGAGCACCCTCTTTAGTTTGACAATGGCAAAGTTGCAACCCCCTTCCCCTCCCCCCCCCCCAAAAAAAATAGAAAATTAACATTTGGACTTGCTCCAAAATGATAATGAACCCCCCCCCCCCCTCCTCAAAAAAAAAAAAAACCTAAAAAAAAAAAAATTTAACAATTAAATATTGTGAAATTGAGCATGAAAAAAGGGCTTTCTATGTTGCACGGTACTTGTGTGTGGATTGGACATGCAGGTCATTAAAATCTTAGAAAAATGTTGCAGTACAGAAGAGTTGAGCATTTTGGTGACTTGGACAGTGTGAAATTACTTCACAACTCAAGTCGCAGAAAATGTTAAACCAATGAGAATAACTTGACCAGGTTTGGGTTACGACTGTCAAAATGCACCTTGGCAGAATCTTAAATTGCTTTGAACAATTGTTAATTTCACAAATTTCGCTCCCCAAGATTTGGTTTTGGACAGAAAAGGATAAGCTGATTTGGATATCCGTGTTCATCATGACTTATTTTTGTTTCCCCGTTTCCCTCAGTCAACTGCAGCAGTCAGAGGAAGCAAGAGAGACCGAAATGACGGACCTGAACCAACTGACGGAGGAGTTCACTCAGCGCATCTCTTCCATGGAGAAGAAGCTACAGGTCTCGCAGAAAGAACGAGACAACCTGAAGAAAGACGTCCAGAAACTCAACAAGGAAATAGCCAGCAGGTCAGCAGAGGAAGATCAGTTTACGGCTATGGCTGGCAGTAGCACATTTGTGTATGGGAAATGGTATGAGCCACTGTGATAGATGCATTTGTAATTACATCAGTTCATGATTTTACTTTTCCATCCATTTTCAGAGACGGCAACAATCAGACAGAAGGCATCTTGAAGGAGAAAGATGAGACGATACGAGACCTGATGGCGAGGGGAGAAACTCTCCAAGCAGCAGCTGCAGAACTCCAACATCATCAAGAAGCTACGCAGCAAGGAGAAAGATAACGAAACATTGATCAAGACACAGAAGTACGTAGATTTGGCCAAGATGTTGGCTGCACTAAGTTGTGGTATTGAAGAAACCCAATCTTTGAACTCCTCTATAAAAATTAACAAAATTAGAAAGCCTAACGTTTTTTCCTAAGTTGGACCTTTCTCTTGTTTTTGCCTTTGAGAAATATCCTGCTTAGGATCGAAACAATAGGCCCCTAATTTTGTTGAGTTGTATATTTCAAGTCAATCCAGTCAGTAAGCAGTTTGCAGCAGTTATATTCACTTTCATCCTCTCTCAAAACTGTAATTTTTTCATTTCTTTTTTGGCAGAGAGCAACTGGATGAAGCCACAACGAGAGTGAGTCACCTTGAAGAGGTATTGGACGGCAAGGAAGAGCTGGAGAAACAACAGAAAGGTGAGCTTGAAAAGTGACTGGCATTCCTGGTTGCTTTCACCTACTTCCCATGCTCACAAATATTTGTATTATTGACAAACTCTGAGCAAGATCACTTTTGGACAACCGGTGACGATTCCTTGATGTGTCATTAAACTTATGGCCGCACACTAATAGCAATTTTCAAACATCTCTCATTGAAAGATGGTGAAAATCATCATAATGAAACTTATTGGTCCAGGCATCTTGCTTTTTTGGTACTCATACTCATATTTGTATTCATGGAACAAAATGTTTTCTATTTGTATGGTACTCATGGCAAAGTACTCGTACTCATACTCGTACTTATGGCAAAGTACTGGTACTCATACTCATGGCAAAGTACTCATACTCATACTCATAATCATAACAAGGTACTCATACTCGTACTTATGGCAAAGTACTCGTACTCGTACTCACAACAAAGTACTCGTACTCACACTAATACTTATGACAAAGTACTCGTACTCATACTTGTATTCATGGCAAAGTACTTGTACTCTTACTCGTGGCAAAGTACTGGTACTCAGGCTCATGGCAAAGTACTCATACTCATACTCAACAAAGTACTCATACTCGTTCTTATGGCAAAGTACTCGTACTCATACTCATGGCAAAGTACTCGTACTCATACTCATGGCAAAGTACTCGTACTCATACTTGTACTCATGGCAAAGTACTTGTACTCGTACTCATGGCAAAGTACTCGTACTCAGGCTCATGGCAAAGTACTCATACTCATAACAAAGTACTCGTACTCATACTCGTACTTTTGGCAAAGTACTTGTACTCATACTCATGGCAAAGTACTTGTACTCATACTCATGGAAATTACTCGACTACGACACTACGAAGAACCTTGGTAGGGTGGCCCCATTAAGTTTACTAGACTAGTCCAACTGGCACAGGTTCATGCAAAAATCAAACTTACTTGTTGGTTTTGGCAGATATCATCAAGAAGATGAACAGCTAAGGAGGTAGGCTGGCCCAAAAAAATTGACTAGACTAGTCCAACCGGCACGGGTTCATGCAAAAATCAAACTTACTCGTTGCTTTTGGCAGATATCATCAAGAAGATGAACAGCGTGGTGGAGCGTCAAGAGAAAGAGATCAGCAACCTGCGCACTGAGCTGGAGGACTCCAAGGAGAAGACACGAAGCACCCAGGCAGCGCTGGACGCTTCTTACAAGTAAGTCAGCATTTCTGACCATCAATGGCTCAATTTCTGGCAAAAAAAAATTCAGGAGAAGTTGCAATTATAATTGACACTGTGTCACAAAGAGACACAGGCCTCAAAGAAATTGCAGAGCATGCTGTAAGGGTGCCGTAGGGAAGGGATACATGATATTTTGCCAACCTACAAACCCTCATTTCACCTCTGCCCAGTTCTGTCTCATTTTGCCAGAACGCCTCACATTGGATCGGCTGTTCTTTCCAGAATTTCCATTTCTAAAAAGCTGATTGTCCCATACGTTGCAGAGACCTGGCCGAGTTGCACAAGAACATTGCCACAAAGACAGTCAGGTCCAGGAGACCCAGCTGAGCGCCGAGATGAATGCTAAGGAGGAGCTGAGATTAGCCCTGGAGCGCAGCCAGCAAGAAGCAAGAAGAGATCACGAGTCACTCCTGCTACAGGTAAGGTCTGCATACCTCGTGAAGTAGATTAAGTCCAACTATCCATGGCATTATTGCTCATATGGCTGCAGAAAACTGTTGAGGTAAACCAATGATTTTTTTTTCCAGTTTACAGGTAGGCATAAAATCCTATGTAAAATTACATTTGTGAAATCCCATGGAATCAGGTAGGGATAGGAAACCCAATCCACATGTCGGCCTTGTAGATTGCTGAAGTGGCAGGCTAGAAAAATGAGTACATGTCTCATGACTCAGACTCAAGTTCACTTTGAGTTGTGTACCTCAGGAAGCAGACTGACTTGAGTTTTATGCCTTGTGACTCAGACTCAAGCCCAGCTCGTGTTGCATGCCTAGTGACTCGGACTCAAGTGTACTTTGAGTTGTGTACCTCAGGAAGCAGACTGACTTGAGTTTTATGCCTTGTGACTCATACTCAAGCCCAGCTCGTGTTGCATGCCTAGTGACTCGGACTCAAGTGTACTTTGAGTTGTGTACCTCATGAAGCAGACTGACTTGAGTCGTATGCCTAGTGACTCAGACTTGAGTCTAATTGAAGTTGTATGATTCGCAGATTGAAGTCCATCTTGAGTTGTACCTCTCGTTACTCAGACTCCAGTCCAAATTTCTCCAAAGTTTCAGCAATGCTCTGCAGTATTTGTCTAGACTGTCAAAAAATGTCAACAGCGCAGTTTACAACATCTCTGGTATATTGTGGTACAAGAGATTATTTTAAAAATAGTATTTCTTAAAGGAAACTTAGTATCTTTGTTCTTCTCCTAGGTGAGTGATCTTCAGATGTCTATGAGCAGACAGAGCAGCATCAGGCTCGCAAGGAGGGCCACCTGAGACAGGAGATATCAGACCTGCAGATGAGACTACAGGAAGCGGAGGCACGTAACCAAGAACTCAGCCAAAGCGTCAGTGCAGGTATGAACAAAATGTTGGGTCCCAAGCCCGCGGGAACGGGGGGGCTGTGGGCGCTGCAGCACCCCAACTTTTTGGATTGGGGTCCTGGAATATGCTTCAGCACCCCCTACTCCCGGGCAAAAATGTGTTCCAGCGGCAGTGTTCTACGACGATGAAATTGCGCCGCTACGCTAAACATTATGCTTGTTCTACAACTATCTCCTTCGTTTTGTTCCTTTCTAGTTTTGCCGCGCCAGCGCGGCACTTCGAAAGTCTATCACAAATACTGTAACTGAATATCAAGAGGAGGTATTTTCTAAATCTTCAGACAGTGCAGAATCGATATTTATCTCAAGGTATCTAAAATCATGACATGTCTATGATATTTCCGCCATGAAAGCCCATGCTGGAAACTTTGACCGGAAAGCAATAATCTCGGCCATGACAATGTGGCAAAGTTGTTTATGCTTGCCAGGATGTTTTTTCATTCAATTTTTTCAATAGGGGCAAAGGCTCATACCTTTCCCCTGAAGGTTTTTCTTTTCATTTAAAAGTTTCATTGACGTTGCTAGCATTCTGTACTCAAACATTAACAAATAGCAAGGTTCACACACATCCCCAACCTAATAGGAGTGGGACGGGCCGGCTTTCATTGAAACTAGTCATGCTTTACGCCAATTCCAGTGTAGTTTCGTTTTAATAAAAAGCTATTCATGTTTTATCCTCTGCAAGGTTTCCTATGGTGGCCCTGAAGGGACATCGCATATCGCAAACGTGTGCGCATACGTATGCGATGTCGCGAAATTATCGCGAATGTGTGCGCATACGTATGCGATGTCGCGAAATTTATCGCGAATGTGTGCGCATACGTATGCGATGTCGCGAAATTTATCGCGAATATGTGCGCACACGTATGCGATGTCGTGAAACAATTCGCGAATATGTGCGCACACGTATGCGAATTTGTTTGCAATGTCGTGAATTTTATTGCATACCTTGTCGCGTACCTTTCAGTAAAATTCCTAATATAACTGGGGAGTTGTAGCAGCTAGTCTGGAATCTAGACGTACTGTTAGATATAAATAGGGTCTGACTAATAAACTTCGCGCGCACGCTGTTCCTCGTGCAATCGTTACTACTAGTACTGTCGAGCGCAAACTTGCTACTTGCGCAACTTTGAAATTTGCGCGCGCAAGTTTGAAACTCAAAGTTGCGCAGGTAGCAAGTTTGCGCTCGACAGTACTAGTAGTAACGATTGCACGAGGAACAGCGTGCGCGCGAAGTTTATTAGTCAGACCCTATTTATATCTAACAGTACGTCTAGATTCCAGACTAGCTGCTACAACTCCCCAGTTATATTAGGAATTTTACTGAAAGGTATGCGACAAGGTATGCAATAAAATTCACGACATTGCAAACAAATTCGCATACGTGTGCACACATATTCGCGAATTTGTTTCACGACATCGCATACGTGTGTGCACATATTCGCGATTAATTTCACGACATCGCATACGTGTGCGCATATATTCGCGAGAAATTTCGCGACATCGCATACGTGTGCGCACATATTCGCGATAAATTTCGCGACATCGCATACGTATGCGCACACATTCGCGATAAATTTGGCGACATCGCATACGTATGCGCACACGTTTGCGATATGCGATGTCCCTCCAGGGCCACCATATTTTCCTCATAAAAACTCAGTAGACCGATAAATCCTTGCCTAGCCCCAAACTTGCCATATACCGATCATAAACATAAAGATGCATTGGTCTTTTAGTCTTTTATATTTGCCATTCTCTGTAACAAACAAATAACACTGCAAATATATCAAGAGCTACATCGTTTGGGAGTTTGAACTGTGTGAATATTTTTATGAAAAGAAATTCATCCGCTTCCAGTGGAACCATTTGTTTTAACTTGAACCAAAAAACATCCTTTCAGGTTTATAGGTTTCAGTATACTTCAGTATATTTCATCACAGTGCATCCGGAATCCAACATTTTCCGGGGCCTTCAAGCGGGCCCTGGCCCTGTGGCCCACGCCGTAAGGGCTCGGAAAATAAAACAAAACATACACGAAGGAATTTACTAAATGTAAGAAAGCAGCCTTGCAACAATAATATTTACATGCGATGTCATGCATACTGATACAATTCTTTTTCCGATTAAATGAAACCAAAAATGGAGATAAAAAAATACAGGTTCTCCACTTTTCAGTACAGTTAAACGTTTTAAGAGCAACAGTATATTCTAAACAAAATAATGAAATAAATTGTCTTTATAATCTCAAAAAACTTTTGCTAAAAAGTCAAATGAAGTGGCCAGGAATCGCCTCAGATTGCACCACAGAGCATCCATATTCCAAATTAAGCCACGACGTATAAGGGCTTTGCGCTCCACTTTGGCATTGATTTTGTCCGTCCTTTAGAAATTCCAGCACCCCCTGGCAAAAGTTTGTTCCAGCGGCAGTGTTGGGTCCAACTCAGCTGGTGTAGTGAACATAACACTATGCCAGTTATGTGCACAGTCATCAGCTCCTTTATCATACTTGGTGTGCATTTATGGTAGGATGTGAACCAGTTACCCTATTGAAGTAAAGCATGGGTACCCGTTTACCTTAAAAGAAATCCAACCCCAAAATTCAAATCACGGAAGTTGCTGTTCAGATTGTTCTAAGGTGTGCACAATAACACTGCCACATGGTGTGTCAATGCAGCAAGATACAAGTGAGTACAGTGCAAGCGTCGTCTGTCGCGCATTAAAATACACATAAACGTGAGATCGATTTTGGTTTTTCATGTAGTCTGGTTTTCATTGTCTTAGAGGTTTCTAAGTAATTTGTAAAGTTGGTTACGGGTACCCGATCCCATAATCTGGAACCGGTTCCCGACATCAGCGGTCGGGTACTCAGGTACCGTTTGCGATGTATACCCCATATCATACTTGAGCTGAAAATGTTGGTCTTCAATCTTTCAAAAGCATCTGATGATTACCATTTTTCCCAAATATAGCCACTCGTCCCTTGCTGCGTCAGATCGAAAACCTGAACACAACCTTCAACGCCCAGTCAGGCAATTGGGAACAGGTAGAGCGCAGCCTGACGGAACGCCTGGCAGAGAGCCAAGCCAGCTGGCCTCTTCCACCGAGAAGGAGCGCAACGCCACGGAGTGCGCCCTCATTGCCGAGTCCAAGCTGTCCTCGCTGGAGTCGCAGCTGGCGCTGCTGCGGCAGGACAAGTCGCGGCTGCAGGCCGGGCTGGAGATGGAACGGGCCAAACTGAAACCCTGGAGGAAGGAAAGGAGAGGTAGGCAGGGTTTCACATCTATGAGGAGAGGGGGGTGGTGGTTGGCAAAAGATTATACAATAGGTGAATTTACAGCTGTGATGTATGATTATCTTAACATCTTCCAAACCGTATGCATTTCAACGGACTACGTGCATGAACAGTATAAAAATATGACAAATTCGAGTGGTGTAGTAAAACTAGCTTCCCCAGGTGATCTATGAAGCATTCTGTTTGTCCCGAGGCGAAGCCGAGGGAAAATACATGTAGACTGCTCCATGAATCACTGAGGGAGGCTATATTTACTACACCACGAAATAAAGTAGTCAGTATTTGTTAATAACACCTCTCCCACAGATTCTGTTTGATTTTAAGCGATAAATTAATCATTTAATCGGTGTTTAGCCAGCGGTTTAAAATCACCCACGTGATGGGCTCTCAACCAGTAGGAATGGGTGAACTGTCTCAGGCACTTATGAATGGTAAAAAAAAATGGGGAAAAAAAATCTGAAGCCAATATCACAGAGTACAGAATTCTACTAAACACAGAAAATATTTGTTTAGCAAAAAACATTTAAATAATTTACATTATTTCCTGCTAAGTGCAAGAATTTTCTAAACAGTATTTGTTACTTGGTACAATTAATCTAATGTTTGACTTTTAAAATATCATATATTTTGGCATTGCAGAGAGATGGTCCACACGGAAGCCCAGATAAGCACGTACACCAAGGCCCTAGAAGAAGCCCAGAGAGAAAGCTCACTTGGAGAAACAGCTGGCGGTGGAGAAGATGAGGGTGGAGGCGGAACGGCGCAAGCTGCTGCTGGCCAAGACGCCTTGAATGAGAAGGTAAGGCTTTGTGGATAGACTGAAGTGGGGGCAATAGTGGGTCCCGCGGGGGTGTGAGGTGAAGGGGGGGGGAGGGTTAAAAATGTAGCAAACTTTCCTTCAAACCCATCCTCCCTGTCAATTAAATACTGCGACATAACCCACTTGGGTCACACTTTTGGTCAGGTGTCGTGGTAGCTCTGCTAAATGTGTTCGCAACCACTGTGAGAAATGTACACAAATCAAAGGTGGCGGGGCTTATAGCCAAAAGTGGAACGTACCGACCAAGCCCCAGATTAAGGACTGGCCATTTTGTGTACCCAACACCCTAACCACCCAGAACCCAACAACCCTAGATGCCCAAAACCCAACAACCCTAAACACCAGGAACCAACAACTCTAAACCCCAGAACCCAACAACCCTAAACACCCAGAACCCAACAACCCTAAACACCCAGAACCCAACAACCCTAAACACCCAGAACCCAACAACCATAAACACCAGAACCCAACAACCCTAAACACCCAGAACCCAACAACCCTAACCACCCAGAACCCAACAACCCTAATGTCCAGAACCTAACAACCCTAAACACCAGAACCTAACAACCCTAAACACCCAGAACCCAACAACCCTAAACACCAGAACCCAACAACCCTAAACACCCAGAACCAACAACCCTACACACCCAGAACCCAACAACCCTTAACACCCAGAACCTTAACCCAGAGGTAAACTTTTGAGTTGTCCAAAGCTATTTGTGACTTCAGCCAAGTTCGGAATAGTGGGTCACTTTTGTAAAATCAAACTGTTCTCCTCTACAGGAGCGGAGGTTGATGCAGCAGACGGAGGACAGCAACAGTTCCCACGGCAACCATTCCGAGCAGCACCCCGGTGAAGAATCTGCCCAGACTCCGGCCCATTCCACACCCCAACTCAGGTCAGGAACAATGTTTCTGTTTCACTGTATACTCTCTTTTTATCGTATTGTTAATAAAACTTCATAATACAATGTTGAACTATTTATAATACAGTTTTTGTTGTCTTTTCCATGGTATGGGAATGCAATCGTATGTTTGTTAGTTCACTTTTGTGCATTAGCACATACCCATGACACATTGCAGATCCTAGCCAAATTTTCTTTTGGCCAAAACTTATAACTTTACCCTTCTGGAGTCTCATTAAATATCACTTTATGCTACAGTGACCATTTTTTTAAAGGTAAACTAAAGTTTAAAACTCTGTATTCAGGTTGATATTTTGGAGCGAACCATGTCCTGGTCCACCTCAGGATCCCTGTATGACAGCATCGCTGGAGGTCAGCCTCATCCGTCATTGAAGGGTTACAATCACAGCTCAAACAGAGAGAAGGGGAGATCGTACAATACAGTGAGACACAGCCATTACCTCACTCCTTCGGCTTCCGACTATGGCTACCTGCGAATTAGAAGTTTTGATCTAAAAGTTTCGACCTTGTGGGTTTACCAAACGCGGCTTCATCTGTGGCTTGGATTCAAGATGTTTTAGATCACTGATTTTAGGGAACATTGACTCAAAATAATATCAAATGTTTATTCTGGGGTTTAAATTCTTTTAATATCAGGTTAAAGTTTAGAGTATGTCCACTTCATATGGATAATGAGGGCTTCTAAATATTTTGGGGGTTAAGCCAAGCTGGAGGCAAAATCGTGGTTGGAAAAAGGCCATAGCATCTGACCGAGTCTAGAGAATGCTGTACTTGTCTACATCAATAAACCATGAAAACAAAGTCAAGAAATTCTCTATTAACTGATTTTTTTTCAGGGAGAGATTGTCCAGCTTGAGCGTACCCGGGCCTCAATGGCGGAGGAGATCGTCAAAACTGTCCAACCTGAACGAGGACACTGGATGAACAGGCCACGCTGGTGCCAGAGTATAAGAGGAAACTATGGTGAGTCTGTCTGCTGCCCTCTGTTGATGATTCATGTTCAGGCAAAAAGGTGTTTTACTTTTTGGAAAATCTGGTTTTAAAAATCAGTATGGGTGGTCTCAACGTCATCAAATTAAAAAGATTAAATAAAGGCACTGGGTATACAGTGTTTATAAATTGTCGGTGAAGGGCAAACCAAATATTGAATTTACATCACCCCGACGCAAATTCGGGTCGAGTGGTAAGACGTCACACTAGTAAGCAGGAGGTTGTGGTTCGAGTCCCACCCGAGTGAGTGTGCTCACAATCACTCTGGACAACACCGAGTATACAGTGTTTTATAAAATGCGTGGGTGATGG